TTTTTTTTTTCTTGTAATAATCCCTTTTTTTTCCTCACAATTTTTTTTTTTTTTGTGTGTTTGTATAAAAAATATTTGAATAATCCGCGTAAAAAAAAAAAAATTGTTTTTAATTCCATTTTGAAAAAATTTTTTTTTTATTTTTTATCCAAGTAAATAATAATAATAATAATAATAATAATAATAATATTTAGTAACTGGAAAAATGAAAATTGAAAACAAACAAAACTTACATTTTCGTGTTTGAACCTCGTTAAAATTTTGATTTCTCTTAATGTTCTCTGGCAGTATGTTTGGTGTTCAAAAGGTGATATTTTTTTTATTGCAACTTTTGTTTTAGTCACATTGTCAAAAGCAGACCTAAACGCAAATAAATAAATAATAACAATAATTAATATAAATTAATTAATTAATAAAAATAGATGACGTCAACAGGTGTAAAAAAAAAAAAAAAAAAATTCAATTATCAACGACAACTAATAAATCTCTTGTAATAAAACGAACCCATTTGTAATAATTATTAACGACTAATTAAATCAAATATATAATAATAATAATGATAATTAATAATATTGAAAATCTGTCATATTATTAATAAATGAAAATAATAATAATAATTTTTTTTTTTTAATTTATTTTCTCTCAATTTAATTAATTTTATTATTGATTTCTTTGGGGAGAAAGAAAAGATTTTAACAGAAAATAATAAGAAGAGAAAGAGAAAAAATATTTTTTTTAAAATCTGTACGTCAAAAGAAGCTAAAAAAAAAAGGCAAAAACAAAAATGTAGCAATCAATAGAACCTGTAGAGCTTTTGCAAAAAAAAAAAAAAAAAAAGAAAAACAGAGAGAGAGAGAGAAAAAAAAAGGACTTGCGCACCTGAGACCGTTAACCACATGCCATGGCCCCTATAAAAAAAAACTTTTTCCAACCCTTAACTTTTTAAATTTTTAATAATATTTATTATAATACTCGTTTCCTTTTTACCCATAGCTTTTCCTCAAATAATAATAATAATAATAACATTAATTATTCAAATATATAAATTTATCAATTAGAATTAATTATTTTAAAATTATTATTATTAAAATTTTATTAATGAAATTTATTTTAAGTAAATTAAAATTAAACTTTGTTTAACTTATTGGAAAAAGGGATTTTCTTCTTTTCTTTTATATTTCAAATTTAAAAAAAAATTTTCTTTAATATTTTCTTTTTGAAATTCGTACATAAAAAATTATTTTAACGTATCGTAAATTAATAAATTATTTAATATTTTATTGTAAAATATAAAAAATTTTACGTTAAAAAAAAAAATAATTGTGTCACATGAAATGTATACGATGAGTAAAAGAAGAAAATGAAAATTTACAATTATTATTATTATTATTATTATTATTTTTTTAATAATAAATCAACAACAGAAAAAAAAAACAAACAAACAAACGAAAAGGAAAAATTAATTAAAAAAAAAAAATATTATTATTTCCAATTCTTGTTTTTTTTATTATTTCATTTAATAAATGTAAAATAATATTATTATTATTATTATTATTATTATGGGAAAATAAGAGAAAATTTTATTATTAACAACGTATTTTATTACATCATTAGTAAAGTGTAAAAGAGCAGAAAAAAAAAACTTTTTTTTTTTTTATATATAAATCTTGTTGGGATTTAAAAAATCAGTAAAATCAATACTTTGATAACGAGGGGGGGTGGGGGGAAAACAAAATTACAGGTAGATGTAAAAAAATAAACTCGAAAAAAAAATGGAAAAAAGGAAAACAAGGATGTAAATGAAAATTAACGGAAGAATTAAATTAAAAATAATTAGCACCAACATCATCGATAAAAAAAAAAGAGGAGAAGAAGAATGTCGACATATTAATTAATGAAATGGAAAAAGGATTTTTTTTTATAAATTAATCTACCTAACACTTTAAAATTTTCCTTTTTTTTTTTTCCCTGCCTGCCTCTTTGCCTGGTTGCCTTAATTTGAAAACTTTAAATGTTTTTTATGTTTTTTTATGTTTTTTTTTGTTGAATAAGTTTAAATTTTAATGTGAATCAATTATAGAAAATTGTTTCTGTAATAGTTTACCTTTTTTTTGTTGTTTGTTGTTGTACAAATTTTAAAATATTTAAACAACAAAATTTTCAAATTTAACTGTCAATCAAAATAAATGAATAACTAATTTTTAACATTTTCTTTTTTTAATTGTATTCTAGGTTGGAAAACTAAAACGAACAAAAACATTTTCTTTTTTTTTTAAATTTAAAAATTAAAAACATGAAATGAAAAATAATTTTTAGTTAGATTAACTATGCAAAATTCATTCCCATTTAAATTATCAGTTTTATTTTATATAAATTTATTTGAAAATTGTTATTATCTCTCTCTCTTTCTCTCTCTCTCTCTCGATCTTTATTTTAATATAAATAAACCTAATTAATATTTTTTTTTTAAATTGTAAAAAAAACTGCCTTGAAAACGTGTTTCTTTGTTCTCATTTTTAAATCTCGATATTTATTTAATATGACAAAAAAATAAAAAATTCTACAACCTTGAAATTATAAATTATAAATTTTATACGAGAAATGATAATTATTTAAGCTTTAACCAAAATTTATTGGGGGGGGGGGGTCCAACAAATAAATAAAAAAAAAGTGAAAAAATTCGTTGGTCGTTTTTACTCAATTTAAATAAGAATTCTTATACCCATTTTTCAAATAACTTTTATTTTTTTTAATATTAATAATTTTTTTTTTTTTTTCTTTTTAGATATGAAATACATATATGTATCATCATCATCATTATCAATCAATAAAATTTGCAGAGAAAGGTAAGTTTTTTTTTTTTTTCTTTTCTTTTCATTTTCTAATCTTTTTTTTGTAAGTAAAAGATTATATATGAAATCATTTTTTTTTTTAATATTTTATATTAAATTTATTATTATTAATATTATGGTATTATTAAAAAAATGAATATCCATAATAATATATGGTAGGAAATTGATTATTAATCTTTTTAAATGTAAAAGAAACCAAAAAGTTTTCCCTATAACATTTGCAATTTCATTATAATTCTTTTTCGGTGGGAAAGTAAACGAATATTATTACATATAATTTATCAATATTATCATTGACATCAATTTTTAAAAAAATTTTAATTTCTAATCGAATTAAAGCGCATAACAATAATTAAAAATGATGAAATATACTTTTAATATTGTTGAGGTATATTTTCAAATCTTAAAAATACCCATTCAACTAAATTTACATTTAAAAAACAAACCTTTAAGGTATTCGAAATGTGAAATTCTAATTTCAAAAAAAAGAAAAATAAAAATTTTTTTTACCAATAATGAAATACAATTATATAAATATAATTAAACTTAAAGATTAAATTTATATAATAGAAAAAAAAGGGGACAATTTTTTTTTTTTTTTTATTATAAGGCTGATAAATTTATGAGGATTTTTTTTTCAATTAAGTAAAATACCTGAAATACTTTGTTATTAAATATTATATAAAATAATAATATTAGTCATACTTAAAAAAATTGCTTTTCTAATTATTAAAAATAATTATATATAAATAAGTAATTAATATAATTACTATTGTTTTGAAAATTGAAATTATAAAATAAATTAAATTTAAATAATTAAAAGATAATTGAAATAATAAAATGAATTAATTAATTTATATTAATTTTTTTAAGGCTATAAGGAAAAAAATTGCAAAAAATTTTTATGTTGTATGTTTTTACAAAAAAATTTTTTTGGATAAAATCTTATAAAAATTTATTATTAAAAAAATTTGTTATTTATTAACGTTTCTAAATGCAATATCTCAATGCCACAGGTAACATAAAAAAATATTGCCTTTGTTATCAGATAAGTGTTTCGGGCCGTCAATTAAAGGAATATAATAACTTTTGATATTCTTCACTGGTAAATTAAATATCATTGACTCTAACTTACACGACCATACCATACGCTCCTTCTCCAATATATGCTAAGTTAGTATATCGAGGACCAACTTCAAAAACTTGACCGCGGATGCTTTCTGAGTTAGAATTAACACTTGCCGAACTCGCCTCAGTAGCCATTTTTATTAACTGGTGTTTCCTTTTCGTTGTTCAATTATACCGCCAGAGTGAATACAACAAGTTTCATAGAGAAAATAAATGTAATCAAAATGTCTGTTATTTTCTCTAGAAGGAGTCGTTTGCTTTATAAGGTCAGTTAGTTTACTGTAATTAATTTTTACTTTGACTTACTAAAACCTAAATGTCAAAGATTTTTCAATAATTATTTTTTAAAAAATATTTAAACATTAATAATTAGGAATTTAAAAACGTAAATGACATTTTAATTCTATTTAGAAAAATTTACTAAAAAGTTTTCAACATATTGCTATGAACTAATTTTAAAAAGTTATAAACTATTATTGAAAAATTTGTTTATGTAGTATAATTTATTAACAATTGCAACAACTTTACATAATTGAAACTAAAACATTAACTGGTTTTTGAGTTTGACTTTTGTCCGTAAAGTGAAATTTCATTTTTTAACTGTGACATAATCCTATGTGAATATAAGAAAAATTTTGACTTAAATACAAAAAAAGTAATATATTAATTAGATAAGTTATTTTTAATCATATTTTAATTTACAGGTTAAAATGTATGTTATGAATATATACAGAAAAGACAATGGTTCATAATAATTTAAGGAGAGATTTAAAATTAAGTTTTTAAAAAGAGGTTAGTGCGATAAATTTTTTAATTTTATGAAACGAAACAATACATTAAAATGGATTTCCAAAAACTAAAATCTAAAGATACTACCAATGATATTTACTCAGTATTTACTTTGATTAATCAAGGCTGTGATTCACCAGTATCTAAAAAAAAATTCATTCTGAAAAATTTTGATAATAAAAATAGTTTTTATTCAAAAATGGAAGAGGAAAATTATATTAAAAAATATAGCCAAAGATTTAATAAATGCAAAGAAAGAATTAATGAAAGTCATAATGCAAGTGAAATAATTGAAAATAATATTTGCTTTAAAAAGGAATTATGTGGTAACATAAAATTTGATATTTTCGAAAGAGCAAATTGCAAAAAACGTTTGTCATCAGATAAAATATTAGATAAATTAATACAACAATGTAAAAACATGGCTGTTAAAAATGAACTATATGAATTTCATTCTAAATGCATCGAATTTACAAATGATGAAAATAAAATTGACAATAATTTCTCATTTCGATCTCAAGATTTTTTTGCTTGCTCAAAATGTAATCAAAAATTTTACGAAAAGGCTAAACTAGAATCTCACATTTTATATGACTGTGAAACCAATCAAAAATATACTTGTGACATTTGTAAAAAAAATTTTAGTTATTTTGGCATACTTAAAAGACATATAATTGCTCACATGAAAGTGTCAGATGAAAATAAAAAAAACTGTGCTCAAGAAATCTGTGAATCTGATTCACTGAATCCTACTTTTAATTTTTCTCCTGCAACTTGTGATAAACACAATGAACCTTTAATTCAGGTTACTGGAACAAAAGATTATCAGTATAATAAAGATGTCAAACTGAGTAAATCATTGGATTCACAATCAAAACAAAACAATAACTCGGGAAAAATTGTTTTAAGTGACTCGGAATTAATTTTATCAAAATTTAAAAAGTCTGGTAGAGTCTTATCAAATTGTGAAATAAAAATTCAAACTAAAAGCCTTAATTTTTCACTTCAATCTTCTGCTTTTAATTTAAATAAATTCAAATGGAATCGTAAAATATTTCAATTGTATAAATGTTACAAATGTAAATGTAAATTTAATAACAAAATTTCATTAAAAAACCATTTAGAAAATGCACATTCTAATGTAACATCAAATAAAACAAAAAATAACAACAATAACACTCTTAACAACTTAGATAATGATTATTTTTTAAAAGATTGTAATTTGGAGGACAGAATGACTTGTAAGGTTTGTCAAAGGGCATTTACAAAAGAATATTATATGAAAAAGCATAGATATTTGCATGAAAATTCCCTTGTTAAGTGTAAATACTGTCTCTCATTTTTTATTAAAAAAAAAAATTACGATGATCATAAAAAAATAATGCATTGTTTTAAAAAAAATATTGAAAAGAGGGTTGAATGTAATATTAAAAAATGTAGAATATGTGGTGAATTGGAGTTCTCAGATGAAAATTTATTACTCTCTCATTTTACTATTTCGCATCCTGCAGAACTACCATATAAATGTTTTTGCTGCAAATCCCAATTCCCCAGTTTTCAAAATCTCAAAGATCACATAAATCACGATAACTTGAATAAATGTACTACTTTTCTTTCTCGTGCCAAACTTTTTCGCAAACCCAGGGTGAAACGTAAATCACAATCAGAATTTAAATGTAAATTTTGCTATGTTAAATATTTTAACAAAACCAAATATAGATTGCATGTAAAAGTTTGCCAAAAAAATCCAAAGGAAAATTTTAATTTAACTCAAAACGATATTAAAAAAAAAATTAATAAATCAAAGAATAGTCGACAGCTTAATTGGGAAAGTAAAATTATTGTAAAACGTTTGAGAGGAAAATCTAATTTAGAAAATAATGAGGAAGATTCGGAAAATAATGAGAAAAAAAAATCGTTTAATGTATCTTCATTATTTTTTGACGACACGGATGAAAATTTAACGAACAGAAAAGGATGGTTTGATAATTATTATAAGACTAATGAGGATGACATAACTTTTGGTTCGGAAGAAACGAGTGGAAAAAATTTAAACACTAAACAGTCCTTAAGGGAGGTATCGAAAAAAAATAAACGAGCAGGGTCGGAAAAAGTAAAAGATATAATGTTTTGTGAGTCGGAAACATCCGAAGAAAGTGAAAATGAAGAAACAACGGAAACGGAAACGACGCCATTTGAATTCGATTCGAAAAAATGTCGTTTATGCCAAATAATTTTTGATCAAGAATACGAACTTTTACATCATTTTATTAAAATTCATCCGGGTGAATCCGCTCATAAATGTCCCCATTGTGACGTTACGAGTCCTTTATATGCACAATTGAAAGAACACATGAAAATTCACGGAATCGGAATCGGAATTTTCAATTGTGAAAATTGTTCGAAAAAATTCAAAAGCGAAAAGAAAATAAAAAATCATTACTTCCGGTGTAAAGGAAGGAGCGTCGTAGATTTTAAAAATGGCAAAACAAATTTAAATGAATCTTTTAAAGAACAATGCAAACGCTGTAAAAAAAATTATTATACGAAATTCGGATATCGAAGGCATAAAAAAATATGCAAAAACAGGAATAAAATGATGGAAAAGTTTGACGGTGGTTTAAATTTATTTTCCGGTAACGATTTCGAACGGTTATCAAATGACAATGACTCCGTAAAAGTTATCAACGACGGAATATTATTTCAAAATATCGATAATGAATTAAAAAACAAAGGAGAGAATGACGGGAAATCGGGAAATGGGAAAAAAATGACGACTGAACCTGGGACAAATAATTTTACATGTCGGTTGTGTAATGAAAAATTTAAATACGAAAGAGGGATAGTCGTGCATTTCAAAGGAAATCATCCCGGTCATAAACCTCTCATATGTCACGTTTGCAACGTACCTTTGGCCGATAAACTGAAGGAACATTTGAAAACACACGGGATAGGCGAGGAATTCATATGCGAACTTTGCGGAAGAAAATTCAATCAGAAATTTTTATCGAAAATACACGAGATGTGGCACGAGGGAATCGAATATAAATGCGATAATTGCAAACAAAAATTTCTCAACCGGGAAAAAATGGAGAAACACGTGGGAGAGAAAAAATGTAAAAATCGTGTGTCTCTCATGAAATTACCCTGCGTCGTTTGCGGAAAATCTTACAGGTCGCAATTCGGATTGAACAAACATTATTTGACTCACACGCCCAAAGATGAACGTCCGGTAAAGAAAAAAATGAATTGCGAATTTTGCGAAAGGTGGTTCGAAAACGTGAGCGGTTTGGAAAGGCACAAAAGGATTCACACGGGAGAAAAACCTTTTTGCTGTCGTTACTGTCCGAAAACTTTTGCTCAAAAAGGAAATTGTAAAGCACACGAAAGAATACACACGGGAGAAGTAAATATTCGAAAAAGGAAAAAAAAACATGAGGGAAATTCAAACAAGGGTGTAGGATAAAATTAATTCATCCAATTTTATGATACCTGTACCTGAAACTTTTTTTCAATCGTGAGATTTAATTAATTTTTCTTTGCGTTTGTTATGATTTCAATAAAAATCAATTCTTTTTTATTATATAAAATCACGTTTGTTTGTTTGTTTGTACAAAAAAAAATATAGTAAATCACTATGAATTTAGAATATTAATAATTAAATATTAATAATAATTATTTCTTTTTCTTTTTGTCACCTTTATGACTTTTAATTTTATAAGGTCCAAGTTTTTTACGCACCATAACACCTCTCCACCAACACTAAAATAAAGGTAGGGTGATAAAAAAAAATGTCTTATCAGTGATAAAATTCAATAATAGTGTGTACCTGAATCATGAGTGAAGCTGAAATTCTTTGTTTTCTTAAATCTCTAAAATGTATCCATTCTTTCATTTCTTCCGTACGTTTTTTCAACTAATTTAAAAAAAAGAAGAAGAATTAATTAATAATTAATTATTATAAATAATTTATTTATTTATTTACCAAAACGATTAATCTTTTACGATTTTCTTCTGCTTGAGTACGATTATATTTAAGATGTAATATTTTATTTTCTCTTCTTTCCATTTCCGTATCGTATTTAGTCATCCAATCTTCTAATTCTTCTTCCAGTTTCTATTTAAAAAACATTTTTATTATTATTATTATTGTATTTAATCGCCGCCATAATTTTTTTTTCCATTCGTTCTCATTAAATGAATGAATTAGGATGCGTAATATAAATAATAATAATAATAACACGTTGAAAATAAAATCATTCAGGAGGAATTATTCACTTTGGAGAATCCAAAGGTTTTTTTTTTAATTCCATATTATTATTATTATTATTATCACGAATGGAAATGAAAGAATAATGATGATAAATAAAAAAAAAAATTTTTTTATATTTACTGCCTGATCGTATTTTAAATAGGTTTGAAATTCGTGTGTGACTCTTTTTTCGATTTTAATTTGAGAAATGAGTTTATTTATATTTTCTTTATAATAATTTTCAATATTTTTAAGTTTTAATTGATTTTGTGTTGATCTAACGTTTTCCCATTTGTTAACAAATTTTTCTTCTACTTCGCATTTTAATATGACTTCGTCCATTTCATCCTTAAAAAAAAAACAAAAAAAAAAAAAAATTAAAGAAAACTTCCGCATGTTGATAAAAATATTATGAATGAATATGGCAACGAACGAACGACACACACACAGGCACAGGTATTTCGACAAGGTCTTTCATTACTAAGAATTCGAAATATAATTTTTATTATTCATTCTTTAAAAATGTCGACTAATTAAACATTTAAAAAATTCTGATAAAAATTCTAAAGAGGTAAAAAAGAATTTTAAATAAATTTCTTTCATTCTAAATAGAATTTTTAGAAATCAAAAGGATTTGAATAACAATAAAAAAATAAAAAATGGTGGTGGTGACATACTTGTAACTGATACATAAATTCATCTCTTTCTTTTTCTTCCAAATCATCAAGTCTTCTTTTTTCTTTAACAGTTGCATCAAGTTCTTTCATGTACATTAAATTTCTTTTCAATTCGCTAACAAGATTTTCATTGTCATCTTCTTCTCTTTGTAATTCACCAACAGCACTTACCAACGGTGCAAAAGTACCATTTTCCGTGAGGCATTTGGTTAATTTTTTAAATACAATTTCAATGTATTCCCTTTAAATGAAAATTTTAAAAATAAAATAAAAAGAAAAGACAAAAAATATTTTTTTTAAATCAATCATTGGCTTGCCTATCACGTTGTAGTTTAATGGCCGGAGTCATATCGGGCCTACTATCAACTTCTGGAAATATTCTATGTGGCGTAAGTCTTCTCCTTAATTTTTCTTCTGGGGGTCTGTATTGAAAATGAATATTCCAAGCACTAACGATGGGTGCACCAATAATATACCTGCCAGTCAAAGAGTTTCATGTCGAGATTCATGTTCTGTAATTAATGCGTAGACTTTAACACTAAGTTTGTTTGTTTTTTTTTTTTAAACACGTGGTTTGTTTTATTATTATTATTATTAAAACCTTTACTCACTTAAGTATGGTCAATTCATCTAAAGCATCGTCAACAATGGAAAAAACACCACTGGTTTCTAAAGGACTTAAATTTTTAATAACATCTCCATCTTCTGATTCTGAATCTGGCGTCCCTGTCAAAATATAATTTATGTTGTTGGAGAGGAAAAACCATAAAATTTTTTTTTTTTTTTTTTTATTAAATTTTAAAACGTGCATTCGTGGACTTTGATTCATCCATTTTAAAAAAAAAAAATTAATTTAATTTATATATTTACACGTGGATATAAAAAAAAATACTTACACGTTCCAATACCAATAAATTCAGGATATTCTTCTCCGCCACATACCGATGATCGTTCGTTTGTATTTATCGTTGAATTTGAATTTGAAAAAATATTTTTTTTATTTTTTACCATTGTTTTATTGTTAGACGACATTTTTCTTTTCCTTATTTATTTTCCTTTCGAAAGAAAAAATCTCAAATAAAAAAAAACAAAAAAAAAAAAATCGTTATAAATTGTTATTGTTATTTTGTTCAGAATGTATACGAAACAAGTGTTTGATTTTTAAATTTTTTAATTTTCCATCAATTTAATTTTTAATTTTCCTCTCTCTCTCTCTCTCTCTCTCTCTCTCTCTCTTATTACAAAATTTTATTATTATTATTATTATTAAATTACTTGAGGCGTAAATTGTAAATAATTTAAGTTAAAAAGTAATTTTTTTTTAGTTAGAAATTTTAAAAAAAAAAAAAAAATCCCTTAAGCAATCATTCCAATTTTATGTTTTTTTTAAAAATAAATTATATTAAAATATTATTTCCGGTGAAAAAAGTTTTAATAATAATAATAATAATGAAGAGTAAAAATTAATTTGAAAATGAAAAGGCGCCAACAAAACATTTAAAAATAAAAATGAAAAATAAAAAAAAAAACCTAGGTATGAATCACTATAATAATATGTTATTGAGAGGTCAGATATTTTTTACCTGCAGCAGACGACGTTCGTGCCTTTTTTTTTTTAAAAAAATATTTTATGTTAAATTCTCGGTTGGTTATTGCATAAAAAAAAAAAAAAGTTTTAAATTGTACCAAGTAAAAATATTATGTAAAAAGAGAGAGAGAGGTATATTAATAATAAATATTAAAAAAAAGAGAGAGAAAGAGAAAGAAAGAAAGAAAGAAAAAGGATTTCCGTTAAAAATGGCACTACCACCTACCACCAATCCGTACCTGTAAATTTGCTTTTTCCTTGTACCGTCCTCCTCTCTCTCTCTCTCTCTCGCAAACACGTTTTACAAATACGTACACGAATAATTAAAAACGGCCTATACGAACGTTGAATCATTATTATTATTATTATTATTATTATTATTACTACTACTTTAAAGTTAGTCTTGTGTCTACTCGATGTAGTGAAAAGAGGTTCCTCATGAAGTTTTAATTTTTTTTTTTTTTTCTTTCGTATATCGCGTAATTTTTTTTTTTTTTTTTGTACTCGTTTCACCCAAATTGTGTTTTTATTATTATTATTATTATTAATTCTGTGATATTATTATTATTATTATTATTAATAAATGTTATTAAGTGATGGTGTTTTGTATTAAACCAAGGTTATTATTATTAAAAGTCTTTTCAATTGAGACAAATTTTCTGTGTTAAAAAAAAAATTAACTCAAAATTTTAATTATTAATTATTTATTTTTTTATTTTATTTTCTTTGTTTTTTATTTAATTTAAATATTATTAAAAAATAAAAAATAGAAGACTTTATTAAAAAGGTTTTTTGTGCGTGTGATGACTTTGATTATTAAAAATCAAAAGTAAAATTAATTGACTTCCACGTTGTCAATCATTTATTAATTATTTAAATTTTTATTTTAATAAAAAAAAAATTATTATTTATTATTAATTATTAAAAATTTGTGTCACGGTAAGTATTGTATGTGTGTATAACACTTAATTATTTTTATTATTATTATTATCGTTTTTTAATTGCGTTCATAAAGAAATAATAAGGGAGGAAAAAAATATATTAAAAAAAAAAAATAGTTTTAATAATTTTGACAGAGGTATTATTATTATTATTATTATTTATTTATAAAAATGTGTAAGAGTGTGTGTGTGTGTGCGCGTGTACGTGTCTTACCTTACCTAAAATTTTGTTTAAATTACTTTCTCTTTATTTCATAAAAATGAAAACACCATTTTAAACAACCGAATTACAAAATATTGTTATTACTTGTGGTATTAATAATAATAATAGGAATTTTTTTTTTCTTGGGGGGGGGATAGGGTGGTTTAACTTGATGGTTTTTATTTAAAGGAAAGCAAAAAAATTATATTTATTTATTTATTTATTAATAATAATTTTTAAATTATGTCATATTATTATTATTATTAATTTTTACGTTTTATTTATCGATAAGATTTTTATGAGTTCTTAAGAAAAAAAAAATTTTTTTTTTTTACATGTGTAAAACATAATGATAATAATTATTAAGAAAAATGTTTTTTAAAATTGGATTTAAAAGGAAATAACACGGTTATATACATATTAATGATAAAATCGTTTCGTTTAACCTGAAATAATAATAATGATAATGTGAGTAGTTGGTTATACTGCTAGCAGTAGTAGTAGTAGTAGTAGAGGAGGAGGAGGAGGAGTAGGATTTTCCATAATGACTCTTTTGTATTTTTTTTTTTTTGTATAAGATATAACGAATGTTTTAAATGAGGTATTAGTCAACAACATTGATGTATTAAGATAGCAAACCGACGCCAAAAGAAAAAAAATAAATAAATAGTGTTTACGAAACTAAATGATAACGTTTTGATAGCGAAGTGATAAGAACAATAATAATAATAATAATAAAAACAAAGGTGAAATGTTTAAATGTTGTGCGAAGAGTTTAAACGTAAATAAATAAATAAATAAATTGTTTTTAAAAAATTTCAAAACTGATCGTTTGTTTGTTTGTTTGTTTGTTTGTTTCAGTTTTAAACGTCAGAGATGTGTATTGCATTGTTAATATTATTTTTGACAAGTTTTGGAATATGCGAAAGTGGTAAAAAAAATGGCGGAACGATTGTTTTTCCAGAATCGTCAGAGAATTCAAGTAGGGAAATCAAGGTAGACATTTTGTTTTTTTTTTTTTTTAAATTATTATTCTTAAAATAAAAAGTTTTTAACCGTTTTAACGAGAATATAGAAATAAAGAAATGATATTATTATTATTTATTTATTTTTTTTTAGGAAATTCCTCTTGATTTAATTCGTCGCTTAAATGAAGTTTCTGATGTTGAAGAATTATTTCAAAATTTGATCGAACCATTCAACTCTGATAACGGTGATTTACCTGTTGGTATTTCCGGTAAGTTTTTTTCTTTTTTTTTTTTAAAAAGAATCGGTTTGAAATTTTTACTTAAATTTTTTTTTGTTTCAGCTCGTTTAGGATCAGAAAATATTGAAAGAAGTAAGTTTTTCTTTTTCTTTTTTTTTCTTTTGTCATCACTTTCATGTAAAGGAATAAATATAATGATTTAATAATAATAATCGTTTCAGATGCTTTAAAAACGGCTAAAATGGCAAAATGCATGCCAGAATTAAGAACAGTGCCATTAAAACCTGATAAAACAACGGCCACCTTTTATTATCCATCTTGCACAAGAGTGGAAAGATGCGGCGGATGCTGTTCTCATCATTTATTATCTTGTCAACCCACAGAATCTGAAATAATACCAATGAGTGTCGTAGTTGCTGATTATTTGGGTGGTAATAAATTACAGTTCAGAGGGAAAAAAATTATCGAAGTTGAACAGCACACAAAATGCAAATGCGAATGCAAAATAAAACCTGAGGTAAATAATTTTTAATTACTTTTTTTTTTTGGGGGGGGGGGGAATTTATTTTAAAAAAAGTATTTACTACCCTTTATATGTATGTAAATAGTATTAATGTTTATTCTTATTTATATGTATTTCAGAATTGCAGCAGGTACCAAAAATACAATCCAGATAAATGTCAGTGTGAATGTACAAACAACGATGAAGAAAAAAAATGCAGCGAAGAAAAATCTAAAAAAATATGGAATAGTGACAATTGCAGTTGTATGTGCAGGGAGGAATTAGAATGTGGGTCTGGATTTTTCTTTGATCCATTTACTTGCAGGTAGAGGAAGCTTTTTGGGTTATTTTTCTTTTTTTTTTTTTTTGCATTTATGCTTTAATGAAACACAAATATTTAAAAAAAAATTCTATCATTTCTTCGCTTCATTTTTTAATAGCTTTTCTTTCTACTTGTTTTCTTTTTTTTTTTTTATCACAAACCTGACATTTTTCTTTTTTAATAAAAATAATTTATATATATTTTTTTTTGTTTGACAGCTGTGAAGCTTACAGGGGAAGAAAGAAGTCTCATTTCTTATACACAGTCGATTAATTTCTAAATTATAATTATTAATTAAAAATATTATTACTGCAATAGGGAATAAGTAATAAATTTTATTTTATTCTTATTTATTAAATATTTTACTAATATATATATTTATATTCATATATATATTAAATAAATAATATAAATTATTGTTAGATAGATGAAAATAAAAACCATTTTGAGGTTATGTAATATATATATTATTGAGATTTTACAAAAGAAGAGAATTAGTTTGTGTTGATTGTGTATATTTAAATATTCAAACATGGAAATGGCGCCAAAAAGGAAAAAAGGAAATACTTTTTAATGTGAAGTGAAAAATAATTTTTAATTTTATTAAGACTTTATTTTAAAAATTAAAGTTTTAAAAAAACAAAAAAAAAAAAAAATTTGTACTTATTTTATACTGTAACCGATGTTTTGTATAAAAAAAAAAATAAATAATAATGATAATTACGGTATTTATTTAAAAATTTAAATTGTTATTATTGTTATGTTATCACTATTTAAATATTAACAGTAAAATTTTTATTTTGAATTTATTAAAACTTTAATTTTACAATAAGTGTT